AATAGCGGTACCGAGATCGGCGCAACCTTTGTATTCTCTCAATCGTGGCCTATACTCAACTTGTTATATACCGATAGTGTACATATATACATATAAGTGTGTTTGCATGTATGTTTGTATGTACATATGCGTTCATATATGCTCCCGTTTTAATAGGTGGCACGCTCTTCGTAGCGCTATGCCAGAAAATTGTCGTGAAAATGAGCATTCGAGCATTCGAGCAATGGAGCATTGGAGCATTGGGGAGCAGCATGAGCACGAGAACGAGCACGAGCACCACACGGCATGTTTGGGGAGAGCATCAAAATGTTCTTTACCGTGTTTTGCCGTGAGCATGTACAATTTTTTTGTTTGAGCATGGCTTGACGCTCGCTATACTGACTGCCATCGCCACCGACACCGCCAGCGCCAATGGCCAACAATGAGCAACATACCCATAGTACTCGGAAATTGTGAAAGCTAGAAATAGAAATTTGTCGGCTGTTAGCTGTTCTGCTGACGCTGCCACTACTGCCGCCGCTGCTGTTGCTGCTGTTGTTCCTGCTCCAGACGACTGGCTCTCACCGCAGCAGGTTGGATTGGTCGCTTGGTGATTGCATGAGTGCTCTCACCCGATTGAGTCGTTGTTCTACTGTCGATTGCAACACTTCTGTGCCAGTTCGTTGTTAGTTATTATTTTGCCTTAGCTTTAGTAGCCAAAAGTAATATATACAAAATAGCAAAAATACAAAATAGAAAAGTGAAATAAAAAGTATGAGAATAAATAATGTGCCAAATAAAATAAAAAATTTATATTTTTTTTTTGGTTTAGCAGATCAACTGTCAAATTGTGGTCAATAATAATAATAACAATAACAGCACTGCATTGAAATAAAATAAATTATTAAATAGTTGCAAGCGTTGCAGGGGTTTTGCGTGAAAGCTAAGAATTTTCCAAAAGAAAAAAGGGTTTTCTTTTTTTTTGATATTCGCTATGTGACAGCACAGTCATTCGTCCTAATGGGATTTTGTGTATACTGATGATTAGTAGTGTATATCAAGAGGAGGACATGAGCGTGCGAACGAAACGATGGGCGAAGGGCGAACGGCGAACGGCGGTGGGCGGAGTGTACAAGGATGTAGGATGTACGACACACACATACGCCTATACGGAGTGCGAAAGGAGAATGTATCCTTCAGTTTTTCTGCGTACGAAGCGAAATGAATATCAATAGCGGGGGGCGAGGGGGTATTGGGGTTTTGCAATGCATAATATTTTGTGTGCTGCGCTGTTTTGAAAATCTCCCACTTTCACCAACACCACTTTGAATTTCTTTGGCGATTAAATTGTGCTGCAGCAGTTAAGTCAAGTGAAATGTTATGAAATTCAATTAACAAAATTTCGCAGTCTATGCAAATTTGAATCGGTGTTGTTTTTGTTTTTTTTTATTCATTTCTTTTAACACACACTGCTCTACTCGCACAGCAGTAGATATACCAAATTTGTTGGGCGTCTGCGCCAAGGCGTACTTGAATGTCAATACTTGGCAATTCCCATAGATGAGCTTTGTGCACAAAATACGCACACTTGTACATACATACATATGTGCATGCATACAGTAGACATACAAAGATGGATATTAACGCTGTTGTATCTGCGAATGCAACTGCGCCTATTTTATGGGCATGCACCTGGAACAGATACAACAACTACAACAGATTGACAACTTACTAATATTTAAATTATTCTGTGCTTTGTTATTGTGTTGTTATTGTTATTATTATTCGCGCCATAAACAAATGTAATAAACTATGGATACATATCATAAAAATAAAATAACCAAATCTTTCTGTTCTATTAAAAATTTTACTACGCAAAAAATAAAATAAAAATAAAAATCCAAACTTAAACCCGAAGAAAGGGCGCCCTGCTTTTACAACGAGAATAAAAAGTGAGTTTTTAGTGGTTTCGCCCATTTCGTGAGTGACAACGTGCTTCTAACCAACTTTCGAGTGGTCAACAGAGCCGAGGCGCAACTTGCGGAGCTATTTCACAAGGTAGTATTTGTATACAGTTAGACCATTCATTCAGAATTCATATTTAAAAGTAAATAAAAATTACATTTTTACAGTAACTTAATTTTACACTTACGCTCACCTATATATGCATATATGTATTTTAAAGTACAAAAGTAGGTAAAAACAAAAACAAAAAACAAGTAAATGCATTAAATACGAATATAAAAATGCACATAAAAATGTTCGGCCAACGAACGCTCGAACCCCGTCGATCGTCACATGTGTGAAGTGGTGCGCTCGAACGCTAACTCTGTATGCAGGCAGGTATGTGAGGGAGTGTGTGTGTGTGTGTGTGTGCAATTGCACATTGTGCATCTTCAAGATCTACATACTCGTACTGATCTGTCCGTGGGGTGTAGAAAAGTGTCAAGTAGTAGTATTGTTTTAAAAATAAATTGCCATTTTCGAGATTATACATTTTTTTAAGTTCGTCGCATTTAAAAATCTGCTAGCGGTGTGCTCACACTGAGATTGTGTGACTGTGTCGGGAGACAAATAGGAAGCAGCAATTTCATACATACATACATATGTATGTACATGGCTGTTTACAAATATGCACATGCATTCATGCATGCATATATTCATATGTAGTATATATGTACATGTGTACGTACGTACAAGTGCACCTGCAGGCATTGGAGGGAGCGCTGTTAAGCTTTCTGTGTTGATTTTGGGACTTCATCCTTTGAATCCACTCATAAAGCAAAGCTGTACATTTTCGAAACTCATGTCTACTAAATATAGATTTTATTCAATGTCCAGTCAATACTAAATAGCCTAGTCCATCTGGCTCTATTTATAGATGTACCTCGAAAAAATTTCGTACAGGATAAAAAGGCACTATGCTGTTTAGAAAAATATTTGTACCAAAATAAAAAGGTGTGAAAATGTCCTATCTCCCAATTTGACATGAAGTATTTTTAATTACATACAAATGTAACTAAAAAGTTGTGCCATTAACCGCATCGCTTTTACTATCACTGACGCCTGAATGGGCAAATGTAGAAAAATGCAGGAAGTGATCGCAATTTGTTGAAATTTGATCCTACAAGAATTACTTTACGTTGATTTAAAAAATGAAATCGGTTGTTGTAGCGGTTATAATTTTCAAAAACCCCTGGTTTTTCGTATCGGCTACTAATTTTGTGAAGAACTCGCATTTTCCCAGCATGCGAAATGGTGTCAATTGACCTTATTTCCGTTGATTTTGTTACCTGTCACCTGCGGAGAGTCGCAACATTACTCACGGCACCTCTTCGCATGTTCTCCAAAACCTCAATCAGCTAACGCCCTTGTCCCTATGGACAAACCCAGTTGGAGAAAGGAGAAGGTATAAGATGCCGTTTTGACCTCCACCTAAGCTAGGAAACAGTACGTTAACTCTCAAAGCATTCAAAAAATATCTATGGTTGTATGGTAGGTCGCTCAAAGTTTTCCACGAATTTTATATGGGGAAAAACCAGCTTTTCGTGGAAATTCGTATGGAATTTTTGAAAATCAATATTTTTCGGTCGGAGAACTCTGGTTCTCTTCAGGAGACCTCCAATAATAATATCCCATTGTTTATCTAACCACTATTCAATGATAAAGATTTTTATATATTCCCCCATTGCTTTTTCTGGCATTTACTAGGGGTTTTTGGCGGACCTATAAAATATAGTTACTATAAAAAATGGTTAAAAAATAATTGGGTATTATTACTGGGAATCTCCTGAAGAGAATCAGGGTTTTCCGGTCGAAATATATGTATTTATTTTCAAGAATTCTATACCATTTCTACAAAAAGTTATTTTTGTCCCATATAAAATACATGGAAAACTTTGAGCGCTTCGAGCGACCTCTAAATATTTTTTGATTTCAAAATAAAAAATAGGGGTATATTTTTTGGTATAGAATAATCCGAGGGTGTGAGAGCATTAAAATTCTCTACTTTTTTATACCCGAGCGCACTTGTGCACAAGGGTATATTAATTTTGT